TGCTGAACTTGTTACAGCTTGTCAGCATTTTTGGCGTACGAGGGGGCCCAAAGCACGATGCAGTGCTCCCCAGTGGTGTCACAGGTGCTGGATGGAGGGGAAAGGCCTCAATTTCCGCCTCCACAGCCAAGTTGGAGCTGGGAGTGGAGGGCTTGCAAGGTCACCCCACCATGGAGCGGTGCTCTCCTCTGCTCTGGTTTGAGAGCTGGTGGCAGTGGCTGCCTGGGGCTCCTGCCAGGCTCTGGCACGTCCCCAGTGCTGCATGGCATCTCTCTCTGGCTCCCAGGGGTTCGGGCTGCCGTTCCTGCAAAGTATAGCAGGGCCTACACCGAGGGGAAGTTCTCCACGTGTGAACAGCGTGGGCACGTTGGGGAGAGGCAAAGTGGGACAGGCAGGAGGCGCCGAGCTGGAGGGGGCCAGCAGGCCCCCTGGGATGGGCTGGAAATGCCCATAGGGTTGGTTGGTGCGTGGATGCTTCTCTTGCTCTTCTTCTGCTGACGGTGGACCTGTTTTCCTCCGACTCAGGGTGATGAGTGCAGCATCTGGAGCTGCAGGGGAGCAAGGAGAGATTCCCACGGGCCTCTGAGAAGGAAAAGGCTCCCACACACACCTGTGGGAGGTAGGCTCAGCGGGAAGCCGTGTGGGATAAGTGGCTGCGCGTTGCCGAATCCGTGCCCACCTGAGCATCGGAGCCGAGGGTGACGTGAAGTTCCACCTCCTCTGAGGGAACTGTGGGGGAAGGCTTCGCTGCACTGTCTTTTGGCGAGAACTACAGCCAGCCCTTACCCTGCAAACGCTTTCTAACAGCCATTGATGAAGAAATTTGTACCCTCTTTGATTCTGGGCTTTAGCCAGAGCTTATGTGGCTGAGAAGCGGGTCTTAGGCAATGAACAGGAGCTTGCCCGCTAGCAGCGGTGAGTCTCTGGAGAGCCCCAGCTTCAATGAGAGAGGTCTCCTGAGGTGGGCACACGCTGCTGGGCTCTGCCCACAGTGATGCTGGGAGACACGGGCATGGCCAGGTGACGGACGCGTCCACAAAATGGCAAGAGAGCCCACCTTGTCCCCAGGACAGGTGAGCCCTGAGGGGATTTGAAGAAAAAGAGGGGTGAGCCCCTGAGCTCTGGCCTCCGGCAGTACGTTAGTCCCCTGTGTTTTGCAAGCGGGCTTATTTCTGTACCTTGTAATTGCCTTACAGGAGGGTGGAGTAATTGGCTCCAGAGCTGACAGAGACAAGTGCACAATACGTGCATCCGGGCCATGGATGGGTAATTCTTTTAATTGGGCTGATAAAGAGATTGGGGTTGATCAGATAATGGGTGGTTAGGATTAAATTTCCTTCCTAGGTGGCCCGTTTTTTGTGCTGTGAGTGAACAGCACGGTTTACCCTTTCCAGGGGATGACTTGGGGAAGGACTGAAAGTGCTGGGGACAAAGCCCTCTTCTTGCTGTCCCCCGTGCTGTAGAGGTGGGATGCTGAAATGGGTCTTCCCTGTGGGCTTTAAGGTCTTTAACACATCCCCCTTCAGAGGAGATGTGTGTGATGGTCAGCTCTGATGTGGCAACGTAAGCGGGGAGTGTAGCCACCATCAGGACAGCCGGTGGGCTGTTGCCCTGCAGAAAGCATGGGACCACATTTTTGGCTGTGATCCTTTGGCAGGCCCAGCGCTGGAGCCTGCACGTGAGCCTGGGGGCGCCTGCCATTGCCTCGGGGAAGGTCTGTGGGTGGCATGGCGTGTGGGTAAACGGCACTCGAGAAACTGAGCCAAGCACCCGCCTACGTCTTTCTGGGACGTCGCTTGTCACCATCGTTCTCGCAGCTTGACGCTCACACCCATGTGAAAGCTGGGGGAGATGTGCTGGTGGGATGGTTGCCCAGCCTTCCTCATCCGCACTGTGTGGGGGCGGTACTGCCATGTCCCCTCGAACCTCCTCGCCCTTGGCTGGTGAGTGGGCCCAGCCAGGGCGCAGGGCTTTGGGTTTGCTTTCCCTGAGCATGGGTGTGGTAGAGGGGCTGTGTGGTGGGGTAAGCCCCTGGTAGACAGGAGTGAGGAGCCTGAAGTTTGCGATCTGCATGCTGGCAGGCTGAGAGCCATGCTTACCTCAGGACAGGCTTTTTCACAACGCACCTTGCTGCCAGCAGCTATTGAGCAATACTCCTCCTACTCCTCCTCCTCTTCCTCCTCCATGCGTGCAGCTTTTGCGCGCCTCTAGCTCTGAAACCTTCCACCCTTTGCTCCCCATCCAGCTCACAGTGGTATCAGCTGGGCCTGGGCCAGTGACACGCGTGGGCGTCCCCAGCTGTCCCCTGCGGTGACACCTGGGCTTGTTTGCAGGGCAGGTGGGATGTGCTGGGAAAGCTGTTCCCGCTGCCGTGTTTGCTCTGTGCTTTCTGTGCTCCTCCCGTGGGGCTGGGGGGATGAGAGAGGGAAGGATCAGAGTGCAGGGGGCCCGGCTGCTCCTGGGGACTGGGGCCTGCCCTGCGTGGTCCCTACTTGCCTCGTCTCTCCAGCCCCGGGCACCCGCCTGCAGCTCCCCTGCCCTCCCCAGGCCAGAGCAGGGGCTGCCGCAGCACCGTGCGCCTGCACTGGAGAAGGTGGCAGGACCTCTAATCTGCTTAGGAGTTGGAGCATCCCTTCCAGGAAACCCCGTAATCTCCTCAAGGGGCTGAGAGGAGGGAGGACAAGGGAGCTCTTCACTCCTTTGAACGAAAATGACTGGAAGAGAGAAGGGCAGTGGAGGGGTAGGAGGGCACTGGGAGTGGGCAAGGGTCTTTGCAAGGAGGCAGTGTTAAGAGGGGAGAGGCAGAGCCATGGATGTTGCAAGCCGGGGAGTTTGGGGGCTGTTTGACTGCGTGGTTCCTCTTGGGGGCCAAGAGCAGGAGCTCGTAGGGCGAGGCCAGCCCTCCGGGATGAGGGGCTGCTCTCGTGGAAGGCAACCTGAGCTCCGGCAGGGCGGTGGGGGATGCAGCGTAGGATTTCCTTCTCATCGTGGTGTCGTGCCTGAGGAGCTGACAGTCTCCCCAGAGACTCGGCAAAGCCTCTAAATATAACTTCCAGCTCTGCTCTCAGTGGAGCTCTGGTTTCTTTTTCCCAGGTGACTGGGTGAGCTGAAGCTCCTGAGTTAGCTTTCAGCCACACGTTTGCTTGTTTGCTGGCTCCTGTAAACGGGTGCTGACTTTGAGATGCTGAGCTCAGGAGCAGAGCTAGGTCTGCGGCTTAGGCTCCTTGACCCCATAAACCATCCTTTTCGGAAGAGATGGGGACTGGCAGGAGGTGACTTGCTTCTGCTGGAGACTTTTAGAAGTAGGGACTCTGGTGCAGGACCTACTCAGGGACGTGGACAAGGTGTGGAAATAGGGGAAACCTGTCCTGCTGGTTCTTGAGCTGGCACCATGCTCCGAGGGACTAAGTGCCTCTGTCTTTGCGATCCCAAGTCCAGGAGCTTTCCCCAGACCAGCTCTCCAGTATTACAAAAGTAATACCCCATGTTTCTGTTGCAACTTGCAGGCCTGGCAGCAGCTGCAGTCCCTCTTTAGGAGCCGGGAGGCTTTTTTCTCTGCCCCATCGGGACATCAGGTGGAGGGTAAAGCTCTGCCAAGGCAAGCGATGAGGCTGCAGTGGCCAGGCCAGTGCCTGGGGGGATGGAGCCCTCCAGTTCGTGCCGTATGCCTGTGTTCACACAATCACAGAATGGCAAGGGTTGGAATGAACCTCAGGAGATCATCTAGTCCAACCCCCCTGCTAAAGCAGGGTCACCCATTAGAGCCAGCGTGGTTCTCCTCCTGCCTGTGGCTTAGGGGTTGATGCCTGGGGGTGTTAACTTTGTAGTTAACCGTGAGCTCTGCTCCCAGGGGAAACTCTTCCTCATCACGCTGGGGACTGACTGAGAGGACCTCTTCCCAGTCCCTGCTGTCCCAGACAGTAGGAGTTAATGGGCCTCCTGCCTCAGCCCTGCCTGCCGGGCAGGTTGTGCTGTCTGGGTTAGGCTGCCAATTCCAGTTTCTACCTGCAGCTGTTGCTCCCGTGCCTGGGAACAGCCTGCCCAAGCTCTGCCCATCTCACGGCCCTGCTGGTTCAGGGCCCGGGGAAACAAGCTGAGCATCCCCTGTCTCAGAGCAGCCCTGCCCAGCTGACAGGGACCGGCGGGGGCTGGGGACCTGCCTCTGGGGGATTGGGGGACACTGCCCAAGATGCGGGTGCAGGGCGGTAGGCACGTGGCACTGGTGTGGGAAGCCCCTCTCTAGGGGCAGACAGGGGTTTGGCCAGAGGTAGCCCCACCTTTAGCTGCCGCCCTGTCCTCCACGTGCCCCCGCGTCCGTGGGAGATGCCGTCCGTGGGAGATGCTGTCAGTGTGCCTCGGGCGGGCACGGCTGAGCTGCTGCTGCCGCTCCCCTGACATTAGCACAGGATGCCGTCTCGTGGCGGGCTCTAGCCACACCGCAGCCCGGTCCCAGCCTCATGGCGGGGCTCCCAGCCAGAGAGGCATGAAAATCCTACCTGGGACCGGCAGAGAAATGCTCAGTGTTTGCCCCTTCCCTGACCCCGCTCGCCCCATCTCCCTTCCACTGCTTGCCAGCTGCAGCTCGGCTCTCTGCGGGGTGGGTGGGCGCAGTCTCTCTCTGAAACATGCTGTGGCTTTGCAGAAAGTCATGTGGCCCTGCTAGCTGCTGTCCCAGGAAGTCAGGGGAGCTAACGAAGAGGCTCGATGCAGAGGGTTTTCCCCTCGTTTTGGCGCAGCTTGGCTCCCACAGGAAACGTGGGTGCCGGAACAGCCCATCCCTCGCTTACCGTTGGCAGCCCAGGTGTGGATCCGGACCCAGGGAGCGGAGGCACTCCTTCCTGCCTGCTCCCCCCTCAGCTGGGGGGTCCACCTCCTTCCCGAGGCAGGGCTGTCTGGTGGGATGAGGATGGAGAGTTGTGGGGCAGAAGTACCTAAGACAGCTCGGAGCCTCTTCTCCGGCTCCTGGCCCCCGCCTGTAGCCAGCGTGGAGAGGCAGCAGGGGGGCTGTGCAGTTTGGCCACATGCCGGCCCCTCCGTGTGAAAGTTCCCTCTCAACCAGATTATCTGTATCTCGTCCTGCCTTGCCACCCCAGCCCTGGCCGGGAGCCGCTCAGATCCAGCGCTAAGCCTCTTAGCGCCCAAGCTTGAGGTCACCACGCAAGGGGACGTGGCATGGGGCACTCTGGCAGCAGGCGCCCGGCAGCTGCTGCTGCTGAAATGTGACGGGGAGGGGGGGAGTGTTTTCTGCAGGGATTTTGCACGTGTTGGAGGCTGGCAGATGGTGGGATTAAGAGGCAGCGTGGCTCATGTCCCGTGAGAGCTGCTGGGGTGCACAGTCGGAGGCACCTGGCTGGGCTATGGATTGGCTTGGGGCCAGGAGATGCTCTGGCAGAGGCTGCCACTGAGGACCCCCTGCCTGGGCTCAAACAGCGGCGTTACCCACTCACAAGTTTTCTTGTCGTTGGAACGATGGAGGAAGCAGATGTGGTGGGGGCGGGTGTTGGAGGGGTCCCAAGAAAGGCTCTCTCCCTCTGTGCTTTGCTCCCCGTCCCCTGGCTGGTGGTTGGTCTGGGCTCCCAGGGCTCGGTGCCTGTGCGCAGGGGCCAGAGGGTTGGGAGCGGGTGAGCTGCCCTGCCCAAAGAATGCTCCTCCGTGCAAAGCTTGGCGAGTGCCTTCATGATTAATTTGAAATTTAAATCCATGCCCGGTCGAGGTGAAGGCTGCCAGGAGCTGGGCCGACGCAGGGGAGGAGGGAGGGAAGCAGGGCTCCCTCTCTGTGCCAGCCTGGCCCTGGTCCCTGAGCCATGCACCCTGTGGAGGTGCAGCGCCTGGGCACCCTTAGGCTCTTGCAGCCAGCTGGGTTGGGCTGGAGGTGACTCTGGACTGGGTTACAATCCCAGAAGCCAAAGTGTGGTGCTTGATGTTTGCTGCCTGGCTCCAAAGGGAAAAAATTCCTTGCTGACCCCAGCTCCATGGGCACGTTGCCTGCATTGGCCTCCATGGGTGACAGCAGGGGCAGTGGCGTGGGTGCCATTGGGGCCCTTGGGTTCTGCAAACGCCTAAGTGGTGGGGAGAGCATGCGGGGTGGAGGGTTGGCACTGGGGCAGCAAAGCTGTGGAGGGGGAGGATGGTGCCACGTGCCCGGCGGCCAGGTGTGTTTATGGGGAGGGCTTGCTGACCACTCTCTTTGTGTCCCTAGACTCCACCTGCCCCACAAAGGTGTCTTCCCTTGTCTCCAGGGCAGCCAGCCCGGTCGATGGGGATCCAGGAGGATAAAGCACCGGCCGGCGGTGTATAAGTATGTGGTATTTTTATTGGCTTGCACAGGCTGTGCAGTCCCAGCAGCTGCCGCAACGTTTCTGCTCAAGAGCTCTTCTCCCTCCCACCCACGTCTTGCCCCACGTCACCCTCTTGTGTCTGCACTAACCAAGGCCACCAAAAGCCAGGCTGCCTGCCTGCTGCCTGTGTCACTAACCTTGTTCTAGAGGGCAGCTTGCTGCTGGACTTTCATCGGCTAACATGGCAGCTCCCATTTGCTGGTGTTTGGGCTGAAGGTCAGTTGAGGTCTTCCTCCTCCGTGTCCTAGCCATTGTAGACATGAGGGCCATAGCACCTAGACCCTGTGCATGCTGAGTGCTTTGAAGACCTAAGATGGCAACGCTGAGAGGGTGGTTTAGCCAAGTGGCCAAAGCAGCCTGGAGTTCAGTAGGGCTGGGGCTGCCAAACGTGGTGGGAAGCCAGGGCCTGGGAGGCAGTCATGATTGCTGGGACCTAGTTGCTGTGTGGGAGCCAATACTTAGGCTAGCCATGGTGTCGGGGCCTCGCAAGTGCTCCTGAGGAGGTGTGGAGGTAGGGACAAGTCCCAGGCCCTGTTCCCAGGCTATCTGTGCCATGGTCTTTGTGGAGCAGCGCATCAGCCTGGTCAGGGTTTGGCTGTGATCGTGTGAGTGCCATGCAGAAGCGCTGCGGTGGAAGATCCCCACTGAGGGCTGCTGCTTCCTGGCTTCTACTAAATGGTTTCTCTGGGTATCACCCCGTCTGCACGGCATCCTGGGCCTTTCTGAGTTTCCTGCTCGGTCTCCAGCTTGCTGGACCTTGTAGACACAAAAGTCTCATGTCCCAGTGCTGCTTGGGAGTCCCGTGGTTGGAGGTGTTCGGGGCGAGAGGCAGCGTGGGCTGGTTAGTGCTCTGCAGAGGCGAGGCGCGTGGGGTTTGGAGAGACTGTGGGTTGAACACCAGAGGGCATGGTCGCTCTTTGGAGCTCTTCAGTGTGCTGCTGTGCGGCTCTGGCCCTTTCCCTGGGGCTTCCTTCAGCTGGGTGTTGTGGCATGTCCCCTCTGCAGGGTTGCTGGCCTTGTCTCCTTGCTCCTGGTTTTGCTTTCCTCTTTTCCTCAAGGGAGGGCTTTGCAAAGAGTCCACATGGAGCTTTTTTTCTACTACCGTGGGTGAAGTGGCAGGTGAGCCTGCTGGCTTAAACTCATCAGCCCCTGCAGCGGGCTGGCTGATGCTCGGCAGCAAACCTCCAGCCAAGGCAGCTGCTAGCCAGCTCACTGCTGCGCGGGCTTGTGCATTGTGGTGGCACTCAGAGCCATGCAACGGCGCCCACCCAACCTCTGCGCCTGGAGCCTGGGTTGCTCCCCCGGCTCTGATGGTCTCCAGAGTTCCCTGGTGTCACCCTGTGGGAAGGGAAGCAGAGTGGGGTAGCCCTGGGCTACCAGTCTGCCGTGAAGTGTTAGCCTGCACGGGGAAGGGGGGAATGGTCTACCCTATGCACTGGCAGCGCCTCTTCCCCTGGGATCTCCTCTCTGAAGGATGGCGAGAGAAAAGAGCCTGTCGGCGAGGCTGCGGAGGCTGGCAGAGGTGGGGATGCTGGGATGAGAGAAGAAAAGGAAGCACCTAAGAGCAGATATGCTGAGGGCATTTAGAACAAAAAGGGTGGAGCAGAAAAAAAAAAATCAGCTTCTCCTCTTGCCCTCCCATTTGTAGCAGAGGGACAAGCTGACGTTTAGCAAAACCAAGAAGTGACAGATTTAACATTGCTACTTTAATTTTGACATGAGATGGGGGAGAAAAAGACTTGGTAGCTCGCTGCCGGGAGGTGAAAAAGTGAAACCAAAGATTAGACTTGATGTCAGTAACAGGGTCACAGTTAAACCAACAAATGCCTTTCGGGTGGCAAGTCGGCATGTGCTTTGCTTAGTCACGGGGTCACGATGAAGGCTTGGGGCACAGAAACAGGAGGCATCTGTCTTGTCTTAGCCTCAGGCTTTGTGAGGCGGCGGGGGGAGCTCACTGGGGACCGGGTTTCTCGGGGATGCTGAGCAGTCTCCCCTTTGCAGACACCTGCAGGGGCTGCCACTTGTCATGCGGTTTCAGGTGCGTGGGACGAGGATCTCCTCGATTGGAAAGCCTTGCTCAGGGCTGCGTGGGGCTGGGAGCCTCTCGGCTCGGAGCGGTGGTTTCTGCTTGAATGCAGCAGACTGAAACCTGTGACGGCAGCACAGGGAGCCAAAGGTCTCCCTCGCCGCCCATTCGCCTGTGTGCATGTTTGCAGGGTGAGGGCTTAGTAAGTCATGGGGGGAAGGTTTGCCTGGCTGGCTTGAGGAGAGGGCTCTTGGGCTTCCCGCCCAAAGGGGAACCAGTGACCTGGTCTCTTGTTGGTCTGCTTGACTTGGAAGGGATTTTGGGGCTGGCTAGAATCTACCCTGGGCATCCCTCTGGGCTGTTTCTGTTTGCAAGTGCAGGTTGTGCTGGCCCAGGAGGAAGGTGGGACTGTGGTGGGGGTGAGGAGCAGCAGGTGGTGTCAGCGGGGGTCTCTGCTGTACCTGGACCGTGGGGGATGGGGGAAAGCAGGGTGGGCATGGGGCAGTTGGAGAGAAGCTCCCTTGGCGGGAGGAGGGGCTGGGGAGGAACCGCACGCGTCTCTGGATGGGCAGCTAGTTATAGCACGATTTTAATTTCCTCTTTGATAATTTCCACTAGGAAAACATCCTGCCGGTCCTACTCAGTGAGTCTTAACAGTGAGGCACTGGAGACTGTTCTGGGGGCCCTTCTGCAGCCTTTCCTCCTCAGCCCACCTCCTCCCGTGGTCGCAGCCAGCACCGCTGCCACCCCGGGTCTGCAAGGATGCCGGGAGCTGCTTGTGGCAGCTGACCCTTCCCTGGTGCTGGGAAGAGAGGTCCGAAGGACGTGTACCCTGCATAGGGAAAGGGGCAGAGCCCTCCGTCCTTCAGCAGCCACCGGGTTTGAGGGGAGGGAGAGCTGAGCAGGGGTGAACATCTCCCGCCTGCCCTGGGCATCTCCAGCTCCCCTTCCCTGCTGGCTGGCACTGTGAGAAAAGGGCCGAACGCAATCCCCACAGCAGCTTTGGTGGTGGGGAGGTTTGCTTACGTGTCCTCTCCCACCCCCGGCTCCCA